TCAGCAGTGGCTTAATGACACTCTTCACCGCTACACCCACACCTCTGCTTTTTAAACAACCATTCTAGTCATTACACCATACTCCAAGATTTATTCCCTCTGTCCTCCTGCTCCCCTGCGGCCCCATCCCCCGTTGGGTGCATTTCCACCTCCGGCAGTGCTCTGCAACTGGTTCCAAGCCATCTGGGAAGGCCTGTGCCGGGCACGTGGCCCGTGCCCGCCCCCTCCCGCCTGGGAAGGACCACACGGCAGGTGTTAGAGCCCACAGGCAGCAGGTTGGATCACTTGTCTTCGATTATTTGTAACAAAAAGGACATTGTTATGGTATTTGATCACAACTGCCAGAATGACTTACGCACAATCTTGGAAGCAAGACAGAGTGCCAGAAAAATGGGAATGGATAAAGAAAATGCTTTTTATGGCAGAAATGGACAAACTGACAAGGAAACGTAATAATAAAGAAGATGAAGAATTTTTTGCAGAACGGATAGACTTTAAAGAATATGTGGAGACTAATTGGGATGTTAAAAACATTTTACTTTGCTTTGATAGTTATTAAGAACAGAATATGAAAAAGAAATTGACTGAATAGATGGCTATAATGTTACCTGAAAAATTGATAATGAATATGAATATGTAGTAATTGGAAAAAAAATAAGAAGTTTTAATGCATTCTAAAAATTGAGCAGTAAAAGGGACAATGAGGGGGTGAGAGCATTGCGGGAGGCCAAGAGAAGTGGGGGGAGGAGATACGAGAAAAGGGTATATGTTGAAAGAAAAGTTGTAATATTGAACATGTTGTTATATCCGAATAATAAAAAAGTTTGATAAATAGATTATTTGTCCTACGGTGTTGGGACTGTTGAACCGCTTCTTCTACACAGCAAGCTCTGAAATATAATATTACTTTTGGATTACGTCTATCTAGGAGCCAGCTATCTAGATAGGAGAATATTTGGACTGTTCTATTTTTGCTACTTTGATTATGTATTTGATTGCCTATATATTAATTTTGCTAATACTTAGAAGGGTGATTATATTAATTGCCAATCAGAGCAGACAAGACACAAGATCAACCTTGACAGACCGGTGATCAGTTTAACACAGCTGTCGCCAGGCCCCTCCCTCTCCAGAGTCTTAAATGTATCTTAAATAGATGAATAATATCTCCCTTCTAGAAATGCCAACTGTTCTCCACTGTGACACAGCGCCACCACTGCACATGGCCAAATGGTGGTACTACAGCTACTTGCTCAGTACTGATCACATGACATA